TGGGAGAGGAGTCTTGTTGCCGAGCGGAGTTGGGAGCTCTGCCGCGGGCCTCTGGGCGCTTTTTGTGCGCTCAGAAACCTCAGCAGAACTGAGCTCCTCGGCACAAGGCTCCTCCCTTTGTTACCAGTTTTCCCAGGTGCTCAGTGGATGGAGGTCTCCGAGATCAGCTCTTCCCACCAACTTTACTTCTCCTTCTTATCCGAATATGGATTGGGAGCACGAATAGCTCTCCTAAAGTGATGGCGAGTCTTCTCCCTTTGCTTTGAGCTGTTAGACTGCTCAGCTCACACTTCCATGGACTGCTTTCTGCCCATAAAAACGCCGGTGGTGAACATCAGCAGCCTTAGGAGTTGGTTGTATAGACCGTGCCTCTCCTCCCCTGGAGCCTCGAATCTCTCTCAACCCCCCTTAACATCTTTTTAAACCTTACGACAGTGTTTCCTTCGATCGGTGACGGTCAGAAGGAGGGCGAGACTGTCGATCTTTTGCAAAAAATAAGCTGTTAGCCTCTGGGTAGAGGGCAGAATTTTTGCCTGTGTTGTGCTCCTGTTGAGGGAAAGGCAGGAATAACGTAGCTTTTAAGTATCCCGAGAGTCATACAAATATGCTGCCTCCAAAGCAACGGCCTTTGGCTTGGCCAAAAGGAGGGGAAGTTGGAAGCAGGATTATTGTGGGAGGTGTGAAGGCACATGTTTTACTACCTGCAGAGAAACTTTTCCGTACTTGAAATAGTTTCTCTTGTTTCCGGAGCGCTTGGATGCTCCTGGAATATAATTCTTAGGAGAAAATCCTTTTTTTTTTTTCCTTCACAGTGCAGTGCTCTGCACTCGAAAGACTGAAAGGAGAATTCGACGTAGGAATGGGGAGCACTTGTTTCACGAGCAGAATCTGAACTGACGGGTTGTGTTGTGCCTGGGAAATGGTTGGTTCTGTCCTCTCAAGGTGACTTGACTTTCCCCCAAAGCAACTGGGGAGCAGCTGGTTGAAACGGAGGAGTTATTTACCAAATATGACTTATTTCTTCCCGTTTTTCTTCTTTCCTATTCATTCTTTTTACACCTTCTCTGTCAACGCTAGCGCACAGGTGGAAGTTGAGAGGAGAAGGAGCAAGTGGACAGTAAGCCAAGCAGTAAGGAACCTGCAGTTGTTCTCGGCAGAAATCGCTGCCTGGGTAACGGCAAATATACTTGAGAAAACTGGACATAGTAAGGAGAAGAGCAAAAGTGCATGTTTGTTAACTGAAAGCCTCTGGAGATCCTATTAGGGTGTCAGAGGAAAGGGAAATTGAGGAATCTTTCAAGGCTTTTGAAGGAGAGTAGAAGCAGCCTCGTGAGTTGCCCGTGTAGGGTTAGTCTCGTCTGGTGTAAAGCTGCTGTGGTCAAGGCTCTCTCTAGTCCTGGTTTCTATAATACTCTGAAGTTCCCTTAGAGGTTTTAATACCCGACAGAGAGTAGCACAGCTGCTTCCCAGGGTTATTGCCACAGCGAAGACTTTGCAGTACTACTAGGTTACGAGCAGTTGTTACTCCGGGTGCTGTCCGAGCAGGTGTTGAGAAACGCTCCCTGCTCTCAAGAGTTTGTGACTGTCACAGCACTTTTTCAGTTCTGCCGGGTTTGGTGATTGTGAAAATCCACCACCGAAGTCTCTCTTGATGCAGTTTTCCCCCAGTTGCAGCAAAAGTAGAGTCATGGGATGTTTTGGGATGGAGAGGACCTATAAAGGCCGTCTGTAGCTTCAGAAGCCCCTGCCCTCGTTGGATGCCTTGGCCTCCGCCGGGAGACCTGCGTGATCAAACTATGCAGCTCCCAGCTGGATCCTTCATCTGTGCTGAAATCTCTGCTGATAACCAGAGAATCGCCTTTCTCTGGCAGCCTGGATGCTTTTTCCTGTAGTTTCGTGGCCCGCCGCTGTTTTCTTCATGCTGAGGTGAGCACCCGGCTGATCTCGCCATCAGGATACCCTGTCACTGCCCAGGCTTTTTGGGTCCGTAGCGTGGTTGCCAACTTCACGACTCTACCTTGAAACCAGCAAGTTTTAAATATTCTTCTGGCAAACGAGTAGGAGTTGTAGTTATTTCCGTAGGCAGCGGAACTCATCTCGATCCGTTAAAGCCTGTTTGGTAACGGAAGGTTTGCCTTGCTTTCCAAGGACGTGCCTCTTGCTCACGGTTTGGGTTTGTTCCGTGATGAAGCTTCTGGACCCGGGAGCAGCCATTTCGCAAGAGCTCGGCAGCAAGTTGTTACCTGGCAACAGTATACGAAATTTCAGTTTTTCAAAACCAGTGACAGTTTCAAGCAAGGGTTTTCCCGAGGCAGGAGGCTTTGACTTTGCTGTGCTGAGCGCAGATGGTGTGGGTTTGCTCTGCAGTGGGGGTCGTCATCTCTTTACCTCGCTAGTGAAACAGAGAGGAGGCTCCTTCGCCCCTTGTCACGTCCGTCCCCTTTAAAAGCTGTCAGAAGGTGCAGAGGCCACCAGGCCAAAAACTGGGACGTGCACACTCTTCAAAGCGCGGCTGAAATCCCGAACGAGCGGTTGCTTTACGCAAACCTTGAGCGCTGTGAACTTTCGGATGGTTAGTTGACCAAGGGGAAGAAGTGGGGATCCTGTGGGCGCAGCCGCGTGGTTTCGTAGCTCAGTTACTCGAACGCCGGGACTTTAAGGTCTCGGTCAGATTTGGAAAGTAACGAATGGATTATTTCCAGCCAACTCCAAACGTTGTGACCGGCCACTGTGTTGCTGGATGTCAGGGATCTCTCTGCAGGTGTAAGAGTTAGAGGTGACCTTTTGGTCTGGCACTTGGTTTGGTAAATCTGAATTGTCAGTTTAGCCTTAGACTATTTGCTCCTTAGACCCTTGTACTTATTTGTTTTGTGTTTGTGGGTTTTTTCTGATCTGCTGGGATTGCCTGTGTGAGATAAGAGCTGTGACTTGACTCGTTTGTGTGGAGTTAAGTTTCTTATGTGGGATGTCTCTTGCACATCCGTTTTGGACAAGAATGCTTTTCCCAACCAATTTGGTGTATTCTACCTGACGGAGCAGCAGAACCTGACGAAAACCATCCGGCGGCGGCGTATTTGACGCGGCGCTGTTGCTTTTAAATGGCTGTTTGCACAGTTGGTCCTGCTTTTCCTTAGGTTCGGTGAATGAGAACCAGAGACCGTCGAATTCCTACAACGGAGACCTCAATGGACTGCTGGTGCCTGATCCCATCGTGGCCGGAGATGGACCTTCTTTGGCTAAGCCGGTGCATCGCAGCGTTTCTTTGGGAGCCTTGCAGGAGAAGCAAGTCATGTAAGTTCTGTCAGAAAAATAAAAATGGCTGAGAGTGCATAGAAATCGGTTAAAAATTCGTTCTAGTGAGCGTGGACAAGTATGTGGGGAATCTGATAGTGAATTTTTTACGTTGAGTTCAGGTGACAGTCATGAGTCTGTGCTGTTGGTCAGAGCTTTTGCAAGGCTGACGTGTTGAGCCGCCTGTCCTCGCTGCTCAGGGACTAAAGGATGTCGGCAGAACTTTTTAGAGAGAAGGGGAACAGGACTGATCGCAGGATGGGCGTTGCAAGTCAGAGTGGAAATAAATTAGCAAGGCTCTGGGTGAAACTTAGCGTTCTCATGTAGATCTCGAGCTGGAACTCCTTCTGGGACCTAAGTTACCCTGTGGGGTAACTTGCACCAGTGTGCAGGTAGACTTTGTGCTTGCCTAAGTGTTTCTCTCCACATAACTTAGAGCAAGAGGAATGATCCTGAGCTAGATTCATACCTTACTCAGTGCTGAGCTCTTGCTTTGCTGATTGACGGGGTTAAACGGAACGACACGGACACCAACAAAAGAGTAGGCTTCTTTTACTATCTGTTTCAAGGTATTACAAAAATAAGGCAAGGCGTTTAGTTAAAAAGATAAGCTTATTACACTCCAGTGTTAAGCAGCAAAGAGAATAAGCAGGGGGATGCCCCGAATCATTACAACATAAGGTTAACGATAGTGATTAAGAAAGATACGTCACAGGTTGCCCTGATACTTCACCATCCTCCAGATCTGCAGGTGCTGGGGAGCGCCGCTTGCAGCGAGGATTTGGAGCACCTCTCCCAGCGACTGGGAAGTCCTACGCAGTGCGTCCGCTCGTAGGGGCGGTGTCCAGAGTCGCTGCAAGAGGGTTCAGCTTTTAGGTAGCTTAATAAAAACATTTTGAAACTTCACGTGCGGAAACATCTGGTGCCACCCTCCCTGCTGAGTTCCACCCAAAGCCTGGCCAGGGCTCGAGGCGTTTCTCTACCTATTTTGACTTTCCAGATATTTAGTTTAGAATTTCTCTGTCTATTCTGGCTTTAACCACATATTTCTCAACAAGGCTGGATGCCCAGTGTCACAACTTTGCAACGCGGCTATAAATAAAGAAAATGAGTTCTGCTTTTTATCATTACACAGTAAGCGTTGCAGCAAAGCTTTCAGAGATTGACATTAAAAAAACCCAACAAAACCTCTCTATTTTTATATATATATTCATATTCTTCCTGTGAGCCCTGTCTGATTTTCCACCCCCGTTTTGTTTTTCTGAAAAGCTGCCTGTCCGGTGACGACAGCTCCACTTGCGTAGTGATATCGGCAAAAAACGTGGAGATAGTGGCCAGCAGTGATTCCAGCATCACCAGTAAGGCAAGAGGGAGTAACAAGGTAAGGAGCAAGAGAAACCGTGCTTCTCTCTCTTTTTATTAGTCACATCAACTCATGTTTGAGTATTTTAAACAGAAGTTACTATCTTCTTTCGCATGTTACAGGAGTGTATAGCTAGGTAGAAGTTTGTCAAAGAGTTTAACAAGGGGGGGGAAAAAATTGGAGCTGAGTGTTCCTGTTATTCCAGAGTCCGGCCAAATTACCCTCTAATTTTCAGGAATAAGTCTGTGATTGAAGCTGTAGGCTCCTGGGAAAGCCCTTCACACACAAGCAGAAAAGCTGATTATTTCTTCAGTGGAAGGTCTTTGCTACAAAAGGAGGCTTGCTCGATAGTTTGCTCGCCTCGACCCAGCTGAGGGTTCCTCCCAGCCAGCCAGAGCTGCAGAAGAGCCCATATGAGCTTAGAACTCGAGCTGTAGCGCTAAGACATGCTCAGAACAAATGCTAGAAGTTGGGAGAGAGAACTCTGGTCTTGATCCTCTCGGCCCTTTTCTGTATTGCTTCATTTTGTTCCCTAATCTGCGGTGAGTTAAGGGACCACAGGGATAGTAAACAAATACCGTACCATGGTATCACTGTTTTTCATAGCTAATGCTGAAGATACTGGTGGAAGGGAGGATCACTGCCATAATTTCCATAGTATTTCTTAATTCTTTTCTCACAGAGACAATGCTTATCGAATAAGTCTAGGACTCTTGAGTTTCTAGGAAAGCAGTGTTAATACAAAAAATCAAATGCCCACGCAGCAAATCTGTTTCTCTATTACAAAAAAAAGGTTTCCAGGAGCTGGGAATGCAGAAATGTTGCTGATAAACAGTGAAAGGCTGCTTTGTTGTAGTGGCAGGGTAGAAGCGTCGTTCTGCAGCACGACAAATTTGGTGAGCTGCGTCCCTCCTTGCGCTGGAAGGAGATGCTCATCACCCTCCAGAGCTCTGGATGTTCACAGAACGTTCAGAGTTGGAAGGAGCCTCTGGAGATCACCCAGTCCAACCCCCCTGCCAGAGCAGGGTCACTCAGGGCAGCCCCACAGGAACACGTCCAGGCGGGTTGGAAAGTCTCCAGAGCAGGAGACTCCACACCCTCTCTAGTTCAAGTCCCTTCATCATCCTCGTAGCTCTCCGGAGAGCTACGAGGATGATGAAGGGAGTAGGTCCCAAGGAGACTCCACACCCTCTCTGGGCAGCCTGGGCCAGGGCTCCGGCACCCGCACAGGGAAAAAGTATTTCCTTATGTTTAGGCTGAACTTCTTGTTTTCTAGTTTGTGGCCACTGGCCCTTGTCCTGTCACTGGACACCACTGGGAAGAGCCTGACCCCATCTTCCTGACACCCACCCTTTCGAAATTTATAAGCTCTGATGAGATCCCCCCTCAGCCTCCTCCAGGCTAGAGAGTCCCAGCTCTCTCAGCCTTCCCTCATGTGCGAGATGCTCCGAGTCCCCTCAGCTTCCTGGTGGCCCTGCACTGGGCTCAACCCAGTAGCTTCTTGACTTCTTGAACTGGGGAGCCCAGAACTGGGCAGAGAATTCCAGGTGAGGCCTCAGCAGGGCAGAGCAGAGCGGGACCTCCCTCGTCCTGCCGGCCACGCTCAATGTCCCTCACGATGCCATCAGCTTTCTTGGCCACGAGGACACTTTGCTGACTCACGGTCGTCTTGTAGTCCACAGGACCCCCAGGTACTTCTCTGCACATTTCTCATGTTTTGTTTTCTTTCTCCTGAGCAGGTGAAAATACAACCGGTTGCTAGATACGACTGGGAGCAGAAATACTATTATGGCAATCTGATAGCTGTTTCGAACTCTTACCTGGCTTATGCCATTAGAGGTGAGACTTCTTGTTTTGGGTAGAATTTGTATTCTTTTGCTCTGTGTCTGTCTAAAAGAGGCAAATTTTGCAGGAGAAGGTAACTGGCAGTAATTGAAACGCATCTTGCGATGACCGGGTCAGGGCGCTGTTGTGGTGGGGATACAAGTGAAGCCGGAGCTCCAGGGTGGGGAGGAGTTGGTCATGTAGGAGAGTTTCCCCTGAGAAAGCAAGCTTTTCTGAAATGAAAAATAAAAGAAAGGGAAGGACTTGGTGGGGATGGAGGAAAAAATGAAGGCTTGCCTTGGTTTCACTGGACAGCAAGCTGATGTTCAGATTACTCCTCTAATTAAATGTTTCTGCAGCCAGGAAGCTTCTCTGTAGCCGAGAGCAGAAGCAGCCCCGTGGTAATTAGAGCAGATCAGCGTTTGCGATGGATTTGCTTGCAAAAATTTAGAGTTGAGTTTAAGGCTAAATTTAGAGGAGCCAGGGAGCACTGCGTTTTGCAGTAGGAAGGAAGAAAAAGCAGAGTGACGCAGGGACGGGTTGTTTCACAAGTCTGTAGTTTCTCTTTCTGCTCTTGTAGAAGTACGCAGTGTTTGGGGCTCCAACAGCCCCAAAACAGAAGACAGAGAAGACATTTCTTAGTTCTAGCATCTTTTATGAAAGGTACTGCTCTGCTTCTGTGGAATTTTTCCCTAGCCGAGGTTATTTTAGAGCAGCTTTAGGGTGCCTCACCCTTTTTTTTGAGAAGCGTTAAAGCTTTCGAGCTGTAATACTACAGGAAGCTGAGTGGTTTGCTAGCGCTGGCTTGGGAATCGAGAAGTGGAAGCAGTGTGATGAGCTCCGCAAGTCTGCCAGCGTTACAGTGATGCGTGTCTGAAAAGGGGAAGCTGGAAACTTTGCTCGGTATGTTCATGCTCTAAAGCAAGTTCTTTTCAGCGCACCAGCCAAAAAGCAGTGTTTTTCGCCAGGTGAATATCGATGCTTTTTACATTCCCCTTACAGAGAGCTTCCTGCCTCTCAGCGACCCCTCCAAGCAGTGATAAATTGCGATTAAAATGAATTCCTTGTCACTGGAGGTCGGGGCTGGAGGTTTGGTAGCTTTATCATGAGCTCAGGAGGCCTCTTTTGTGAGGATAACCCCCGGAATTGAGAGAAATCAACTCTTAAGTAGAGCAACTTTGGGGTGATCAAGAAACAGAAGAGGTGGGGAAGTCAGCTTGCCCCAGGTAAAGCCCTTCTTTGCTGCCTGCCCAACCTGCTGTGACAAAGCTGATGACCAATATTTGTGAGTCCTGTTTCTTGAAAGGGCTTCTTAACGTGGTACCTATCGATAGGGCTTGAGGGTGTGCTGCCAGCCCTGTCTGGTGGCAAGATGGGCACTGAAAACGAAAAGGACCCTGTGGGGAAACCGCGCGGGTAAACGTTAACTTCTCCCTCTGTCTTCTCGGCAGCTGCCAGCAATGGCTCGGCGATGGTGCGAGTGCTGAGCGTCAGCACAGCGGAGCGGACCTTGCTGAAGGGATTCACGGGCGGCGTGGCAGACCTGGCTTTCGCTCACCTCAACTCCAACCAGCTGGCGTGCCTGGATGAGGCTGGCAACCTTTTCGTCTGGCGCCTGGCCATGGATAAAGAAAAAATCCAGTATCTTGTGAAAAAAGCCGTCAGTCTGATGGGTAGATGCGGATGCCACCTCCAAATTGCGGGTTGGTTTTGTAGCCTTTCCAGAACAGCGGCTTGCATGGCAAAGTCAATAGTTCTGCCTCTTCCAAACCAGTCAAGCTGTGCCCGTGTTGAGCACGGTCGTTACTTGAAATTACGCATCAGATTCTGGGAGGGACGCCTCCCTGCTCCTTCTGGTCCAGGCAGAAGAAGCCGGTGAGAAATGTCAGTGTCTGCTGGCTGGCCTTACGCAGGGCAGCAACACCTCAGCCACCTCACTGTTTGTTTTTTTTTACTCAACGTTTCTCTTGTTCTAACTCTTTTCCTCCGTCACTTTTCTGGGGAAGAGGATGTAATACTTCCTTCCCACTCAGTATTTTCCTTCCAAACCCACCTCTTGTGGTGGTCCTGAAATTTATTTTCAATGTTTGATTCGTTGCCCTAAGTATTTTCCTTTTATCTGCTGGGAGTGACGACTCGGTGCATTTGGGAAGCGCGTCCGTCTGTGGAATGCATCGTCTTAGGTTGGGGCTTCTTAAATTTTAATTACATGCTATCGTTTCAAAATCGGCTGGAGCACAGGTGGTTGTAACTCTTGAGAGTCTATTAAATTTTGTAGGCTTAACCTCTTCTGACAGGGAAGAAATGCCAGCTTGTCTGCTTTCTTGGCAGAATCCTTTCACCTGGTTTCTTTTTCAATTGGTGATCCCTAAAAATCTGGAGGTTTAGCAGTATTTGATGGAGGCTCTTGCTGAGTGTTAGGAGTGCAGCCAGACCGTTACGTTCCTTAACCCCGGTGATCAGAGAGGAGATCTTGGTTAACATCAAGCGGCCTGACAACACCCCGCTGAACACCTCTCGAAGAATCATCTGGTGTCCTTTCATCCCGGATGATAATGAGGAGAGCGGTGAAGAGGGAAGTCAGACGTTGGCCTTGTTGCATGAGGACAGGGTAAGAAAACCCTATTTTTGGAAATATCCCATATTTTCATTAGAGGGAGGGAATCTACCAAAGGAAAGAGTTGCTATGGTTCAAGATTTAAAGGCTCCTGTCTAGGCCGTGTTGGGGATCCTCCCATAGTATGAGATGTGAGATTCCTCTCTTCCGAGGCAAGGTCATATTGATCTTACTCTGGGCCTCAGGAGGCTGGAGAGGGATAACTTCTCGCCATCAAATAGCGAGGATCGCTAGAAACGACGTGGAGGGCCAGAGGCACCGCTCGTCTCTTCAGGCTGAGCCAGTACCTAGCAGAGGGGACTTGGTGAGCAGCAACTGCCCAGAGCAGCTCCCTCTGCTTACGGCCGAGTGCCAGGAAAGCATCCAACGGCCAAATCGGGTGGAACTGGGAAGGGTTTTGTCACGTACTTGCTGTTGGGCTGGGATGTCGGGGTATAAAGTAAGAACATAAGAAATTCTCTGCTGGAGCGGGCTGGTTGTTGCAGAAATAAACCCATGTGCTTCCGTGTTTGTTTTCCAGGCAGAGGTGTGGGATTTGGACATCATCCGGACAAACAACAGCTCCTGGCCGGTGGAAGTGCCCAGCATCAAAGAAGGCTTCATTGTAGTGAAAGGCCACAGCACGGTAGAAACCTCCTTTGGTTTTTTTTTTACCACCGTTGCGTAGGTTATCACTGCAGATTGCTTAGTTTTGCTTCGAGTTATAGTGTCTGAGGACAGTTGGCTGTCAAAAAACCACAAGGATTTCTTACCCAGCCACACTATCGCCCACAACCAGAGCTGGTGAGTAACCTCTGGTTAAAGAGCTGAAGTGAGCGTGCAGTCATTTGCTTTAAAAATGGCTCTGGAAAAAACTTCCGCTGTATTTCCAAGGGCCTCTTCGATAACCTGGGCTGTATTTCGACTATTTTGTCGTATTTCCTGGTAAATGGAACGTTTAATGCTGCTGTGGCTTACTGCTGGATGAAAAGGGGGAAAATTGGGCCTGATGTCGTCTTTACCCCTCTGTGATTTCCCTCATGAGTATAATTCTGTCTATAAATACAGTGGACCAGGATTGCACCTGAATATCTAATAGGTGATATTTAAAATATAAGAGAAGTGACTAGAAAGAGTCTTAGTTTCACTTCCTGAACAGGATGATGACAAAGTAATTGTATCCCTTTGATGAAACAGTAACGATTGTGAAAAGCCTGAAGATCCCCAAACAAAAATGAGCTCTGTTCGTAACACGAGTAACAGTGGGAATGGTAGCAGCCCAAGCCATTGTACTTGAATTTGCTGTCTGGAAAATGTGATTGTTAATTATTGTGAGCAAAAAAAAAAAAGAAAAAGGCCCATCAGTTCTTCTGTGAAGGGTTAAGCTGGTGATGTGCCTCTCAGAAATCGCTCTGATCTCCTGTCCTATCACTGTTAGTCAAATTCTTGTTTGGAGCGAGTCCTCTTTCTCCCCAGAGAGCTGTAAAAATGACTTTTCTACGTCTTTTTTTTTTTTTTCTCCCTCCTCTGTAGTGCCTGAGCGAGGGAGCGCTTTCTCCAGATGGAACCGTGTTGGCCACAGCAAGCCACGACGGTTTCGTCAAGTTCTGGCAGATCTATATTGAGGGGCAAGACGAGCCAAGGTAATTAGAAAAGCAAGGACCTTGGAACAGAGAGCGGCATTTTCTCTGTGAGAGTTTCCTTGTTACGGTATCGCCTGCAGTGGTCATTCTCAGGACGTTACAGAGATAGAGAGTGAGTCTTTTCTGATTCTTCCTTAGGTGTCTTCACGAGTGGAAGCCCCACGATGGCAGGCCTCTTTCCTGCCTGCTCTTCTGTGACAACCATAAAAAACAAGATCCAGAGTAAGTCCCCAATCCTGTCCTTGGAGTATCAAAGTTTAGCAGTGTCTTCTAACTCCATTTTTAGAGGATTCCTTGCAACTGCATTGTACCTGTAAAATGGCTTTGTGGCAGGAGCAAGTCCTATCCTCTTTGCAGGCAGGTTTCTAGCAATGGAGAAATAAATAAGTCTCTGGAACGCAGCCTAAAGTGACCTTAATTCTAATGTCAGCTCCCTGAAAGCAGTGAAAATTCTAAATTGACAAGTCCTATCAGGTTTGTTCTATGGTCACTTTTAACCAGACTGTTACTCCCTCACATTTCTGCTGCAGTTGATTAAAAAATAGCTTTTTCAATTTTTTTTTTTACTCTTTCTGCTCTCAGTTGTGGCCTTAAGGTTCTTAAGAGCTATATTGACTTCTAACTGTCTTAAAAGCAGAGATTTTCTGGGACCTCTAAGACCCTGCTGGGCACAGTCAGCTGTGGGCAGCTAGTGAGGAACTTTCCTGTGAAGTGCCATTGTGGAAAGGACAGACCTTCCTTAAGACGACTGAATTCTGTTGTGCCCGCAGGGTTCCCTTCTGGAGATTTCTCATCACGGGAGCGGATCAGAACAGAGAGCTCAAGATGTGGTGCACCGTGTCTTGGACCTGTCTGCAAACCATCCGGTAGGTGTCCATATGCTGCCTCCCCTCTGGGGTTGGATTTAGTTTGAGCAGCAGATCGTAACAAACCTCTGGATTTCTAGATACACTGAACTTCGCAAAGGTGATCCTTGGTCTCCAAGGAATCTAATCTAGCATGAATTTTGGAGACTCTACCTTAGCTTGATCAGATTTGCCACCAGGACTGGCAAGGCTAGGGTGGTTGATGTTTTTCTATGATCTCCTTGGTGTTACCTGTCATCTGCACTTTGGTCTGTAGAGCGTAGACATGAGGAGAGGCATTCCAAATTGCATCTTTTGTTTCAGTACATTCAGAATCCGTAAGGTGATCCTATCGTGTGATCTCACTGCTGGTCTCTCAGCTGAAGCCAGCACTGATCTCCGCAGCGACGCTTTTTTTCTAATGGGTGTTTGTACTGTAATACAGCTATAAACTCTTTAAGATTTTTATATTTGTTAGTATTAGTTTTTTAACTAACGCAGTTTCATAGGAGTCTTTCTGGTTGTGCTAATCCACCTTGCTTTCTGCACTCCCCCCCTTCCACCTCTTTTTTGTGGATCTAGCTTTTCTCCTGACATCTTCAGCTCCATGAGTATTCTTCCCAGCCTGAAAGTTTGCCTGGACCTCTCGGCTGAATATCTGATACTGAGCGACGTGCAGAGGAAAGTAGGTGGTTCGTTTTATTGCTGGCTGTGTGGGTAACGGTAACAAAAGGAGAACTGGTTGTGTGTGTGACTGATTCTGCTGCCTACGTCTAGGGTTTGCTCGTTAATAGCTAAAAGTACAGATTCGGGCCTCAGCTCTTTCACCATAAGATGACAAATGGTAACAATTCAGCTGAATAATCCTGAGGAGCCTTAAGAATTACTTCTCACCTTAAAGTAAAGCTCTTATTTGGAGGAATCTGTGTCTGGCACAGTAGGATTGAGTTTCTGATCAGTGTTCCCTCGGGTAGTAGTGTGCTTGTTGTGGATCCCTTGGTTGTTTCTTTTTAACTTTAAATGTCCTGGGCTTTATTCCTCCTGTTATTCCCGTTGTTCCAAATCTCATTCAGGCTTGGTAGTCCACATGCAAGTCTGCGTGCTCTGCTCTGAAAGCCCACCAATTTTCTGATTCTTCCAGGTCTTGTATGTGATGGAGCTGATGCAGAACCAGGAGGAGGGCAAAGCTTACTTCAGCTCCATCTCGGAGTTCCTCCTTACCCACCCAGTCCTAAGCTTTGGCATCCAAGCAGTGAGCCGCTGCCGGTTAAGGCACACGGAAGTGCTCCCGGCAGAAGAGGAGAATGACAACTTGAGTGTAGGTAGGTGACCAGGAGAATTTACCTGCTGTGTGATCAGGATGTCTTTCACAGAATCACAGAATGTTCAGGGTTGGAAGGGACCTCAAAAGATCATCCAGTCCAACCCCCCTGGCGGAGCAGGATCACCCAGAGTAGGTCACACAGGAATGTGTCCAGGTGGATTTCTCATGAAAGGCTGACCCTCTTCTTCTATTAGTCTGGATGAAATACTGTGCAGCTAGATTGCTCTGGAGAAATAAAAGCCTCTGGAAGTCTCTGGTTCAACCTGATGCTAGAAACAGCACTGTTGCTGCTAGTAGATTAGATCACCTCGTGGGTTTCTCGTGAAAGGCTGACTCTCTTCTGTTAGTCTGGATGAAATACATACTGTGCAGCTAGATTGCTCTGGAGAAATAAGAGCCTCTGGAAGTCTCTGGTTCCACCTGATGCTAGAAACAGCACTGTTGCTGCTAGTAGATTAGGTCACCTCTGGCTTCATCTGGTTGTGTGTGAAGGCCCCCAAACATGATGCTTCTGACTCTGGTGCCCTGTCTTAAAGAAAATGTATTCCTGGTATCCAACCTGAACCTCCCAACCTAGGCTGTAGCCGTTGCCCCTTACCACACAGAAACTCCGCTTAGCTGTTTCTCTCATTAAGAAAGCATCCCGGCACTGAAGCGAGCACAAGCGACTCTTTGGTTAAGGTACAAGATTAGCTACTCGATACCTGAGCTATGATGCTTTTGCGACGGATCGGTTGTTGACCCCGGCAGGACACGGGGGACGGTGCAGGGCTGAGTCCCTCGCCAGCACGGTTTGGTGCAGACTCGCAGGAGCACGAGCATTCCCGGCAGAACTGGCGGGACGGGTTTCTGTGACTGCTCCTCTGAGTAAACTGTGTGTAGTGTGACATCGGAGGTGTGAGCACGTGGTCTGAGAAACCAGTTGGTTGCTTCTGAATCACACTGCCTGAGCTGTGACAGATGTGAGGACAGTACGCAGTCTTGGTTGAAGAAGGCGGAGTTGTTCTCTGTCGTGCCAAGCTACAAAGCTATTCGTAACAGAAATGAAAGAGGAACGCTCTTTTAGAGGAGACACGCATAAGATTTTCTTCTTTGGCTGTTACTACAATGAATATGTTAGTGAATCCTGCGGAGAACTGTCCCATGGAGGCATCCCTTGATCACTGCCTCACTTCAGCTCTTGCCTTGCTCCTGATCTCCTATCGTGGAGTTGTTCAGTCTGCAGAAAAGAAGGCT